CTGGGGAATTCTGGAGTTGAAGTCCACCCCTCTTAACGTCGCTAAGGTTGAGAGACACTGCCTTAATCAGACACAAAGCTAAATTGTGAAGAAGAACAGAGGGGAATCAAGAGTCAAGATCGCAGCTGCAACCCACATGCAATGCATGTAAAAAAGGGGTGGGGCTTCAATTGCACAGTTGCAGCTGCATCTTGACTTCTTTGACCCACAGACGCGCATCTGGAGATGTCCCTGGTCAGCATGCCTCCCGATGTAAGGGAACCACCCACTGGTGCTTCTGGGGTTAGGGTTCGTGGATGTCTGGTTAAGCCTCTGATCTGATCCTGCAGGGATCTTCGTTGTGATTTTGTGCCAGATCACAGGCCTCGAGGACCCGCTCTGTCTGCTTTCTTCCCTGTTATCTCCCACCCAAGCCAATAACTGCAGGATAACCTTTAACCAGGTGATATGAAAAGAAACGTAGGAAGAACCCCAGCCAAGGTGAACTCAAGACAGCAACCCTAAATACTATTTCTCTGAGTTGCAATTTTTGAGTTGAGACCCCCTTTTGGCAATCAGGCGAAGCCCACCCACTCAAAAAACCCAACTGCTTGCTACTACTATTAGCAAAAGGAAGCACTTCTCTGAGGTGCATCCTGGATTAAGCCAGGCCTGTTCCTCACAAGCGTGGATCAACTGCTCTCTCGTCTCTTTTGGCCCCGAGAGAAATCAAAAGTTCTTGGAACACCACAGCACCATTGGCTAACTCTGCCACTTTATATGTAGTAAGTCAATGTTTTTTTTTCAAGATCTCCCTGTTACCCACTTAAAAATATTAGAGTAAAACATCAGGAGATCTTCTCCTACAACCAAGTTGATGCTCTCTAAAGAGATTGTGCACGTGTGTGTAACATGGGGTAAAAATACTCTTAAATAACCCACTGGAACTGCGCACGAGAGGTGCTTTAAGTCAGCAAAACTTCAGCCCAAGCGCCCTTTGAAATGCAGCACTGAATCAAAGCGTGGCTCGCGGTCAAAGCACCATGGCTGGTCTATCAGTGGTTCCTGCACCGATGCGAAAGGAGGTTTCTGCACAGGCCCTGAGGCAGCCAGAGGCACGAAGTCAGCCCACTTCTGACCCTTGGATTCAAGGTCTCAAGGAGGAGTGACTCAATTTCGCCAGCTACCGAGCATCCTTGCGTAATTCACTTTTGGGGCCCACCTCAAGGTGGCCTCTCAAGGCCAAAAGCCTCCCACTGGCTTACTGTACACCGAATTTTAGTCGTAATTTTCACTCCCAGAATTAGGCACTTTTCTTTCACTCAAATCACGTCATGATCCTGCTCACATATTTTCATGACAGGGTATTCCCTTCTATTTCCAATTTTACCTCTGTTCGCTTCCAGGGATGTCAAAAAAGTCAAGATGTGGACATACAAAACAGTGGGGCTTCAATTACAGTTGCACCCACCATGCTCTTCACATCACCTGTCAAAACAGTACCATTGGTGATGGGGTTTATTCAACCTATCCAGCCGAAATGGTTTGGAAAGAGAGGCTAGAAGAATACAGGTAGTCCTCGCTATCCGACCACAATAGGGACCAGAAATTAGGTCGCTAAGCAGTTTGGTCATTAAGTGAATTGGAGCTGATTTTATGACCTTTTATATGATGGACGTTAAGCAAATCACATGATCGTTAAGCAAGCAAATCCAGCTTCGCCAGTGGACAGTTTTTGCTGGAATTTGTTTAACGACCATGTGATTCACTTAATGACATGATTTGCTTAACAATAGCAGTGATTTGCTTAACAACCATCATAAAAAAGGTCGCAGATCGCAATCACATGACCACGGCAGTCATAAAGCACTTTTCCCAAGGCCATCGTAACTCCAGACTGTCGTTAAACAATCGTTAAGCAAAGACTACCTGTATTCCAAGTCTGACGGGAAACGATGCCATAAATGTGAAACAGTAAATTTACTCACGGTATTTTCCCTGATGTTAAACAAGTTTCTCTGCACCAACAGCCTGTCTGCTGGGGGCTTACAAACTGCTATGTGTATAAAGTCCTAATCTCAGCATCACACCCCTTGCAATGAGCAAGACTGATGCACGTACAATTTGCATCTGCACAATTTGCATTCTTTGTCTCCTCTCACTTCATGGCCTCACATTATGGCAATAGTAATATTTTGAGCATCGGAACTTAAGCATCCTGCAAAAGAGTTTGTGACTGGACGAAGAAGTCTCTGTTCTGCAAGGAATCAAATTCAGATCAGATCTGGAAAATACAAAGAACAGACCAACATGTTTTGTCCAAAGGTTGTGAAGTTTCTCAGTGACTCCCACCTGTCTGAAAATATATTGTATTTTAGAAAAACCTGGTGCTCCAAGCTGGTGGACAAGGTCATATCTCTGCTCAGAATGTAAATCCCATCGTTGTGCAACGTGCAAGTCAAGTTAAGACCCGATTTTGACGTGTTTTCTTTGAGGTAGAGCCACTGTTTGGTCACCACGTTGTAAGACTGCACAGTTAACCTATCCTCATTCTGACTCGGTCTTTCCTTTGAATCCAAATTGTGGTGGCAACCGCCCACTATGTAGATGGTCTCCTCCACCGATAACATTTGCTGCTTGCGAAGGTGGACGCCACACGTTTCAAAGTTAGTCCACTTGTCAGAGATGGGACAATATTCCAAGATGTTCAGATTCCGGCCTGCAATAGAGAAATTTAATACAGATCAGGGACCTGCTGAGATTCCGAATCTGATTTGGTGTCTAGGTGAGTTTTGCACACGCAGCACCGGTTGGGAACACCTTAAAGCCACAGCTGACACACGATCCTGGGAAAAGGCAGGCTTGATTTAAGGCAGTGTTGCTCAACCTCGGCAACTTTAAGCTGTGTGGACTTCAACTCCCAGAATCCCCCAGCCAGCCACGCTGGCTGGAGGAT